AGTTTGTTTGTAACGTTTTTGTAATTATACTGTAAACATGCCTCATAAATAAACATTTAAAGTACCAGTTCTCGTCCGATCACTGAAGTCAAGAAACGTTGAGCACGGTTAGTACTTGGATGGGTGACCGCTTGGGAACACCGTGTGATGTTGTCCTTCAATTTTTTATTTTTTGCTTCAGCCAGAGGGAAATCCTATGAAGAAAACTACACCGACAAAATTAAAATGTACTATTTAAAAAACTATGCAATTTTTACTTTTTTTTTTGCAAAGCAATTGTATGTTTTTTTTACACCAATCATCTCATTATTCTGTGCATAAAAGTATTAAGATGGTTATCAAAAAATCAATAGTTTACGAGATATTTCATATTTTATGTCGAAAATATATAATGGCATAAAATAAAGTATAAAATATCTCGTAAAGTATTAATTTTTCGATAACTTTACCTTACTTTTATATGCAGAATAATTAGAAGAATCATATTATATATAAAAATTGTATAATTCCATTTAAAAAAGTGGAGGTGATCTTTAAATCTTTTTAGCATTTCCACTTATTGTTAGAAAAAAAAAGCAACTTGATCAAAATGCATCCGTCGAAACTGTTCCACTTTCATCTATAATGTATAACATTTTTTTCTATTATCAATAATTTCGAAGAAAATTGACTGTTTTAGTTCAAATGGGACACCCTGTATAAATATTTTTAAAAAGTCAAAAGTTATAAACAAATCTTTTTACAATCCTCAAATTTTTCCAAAATATTTGCGAGCACCACGAATGATAGAACACGAATCTCACGAAATAAGAAAATCAGACAGTATAGGTATTCATTTATGTATTTAGGACCACTTCGATCAATTCCAATTACCTTTAATCGATGATTAACTCAATCGCCCAGGTAGTAAGCTAATCATATTTATTGCTAGAAGAGCGCTCCCTCCAGTGCCTCGCCATGCTCGTAATAACGCGATCGTCGCGTGATACTCGGGTCATTCCCTTCTCCGGCCTCTTCCTCTTTTTTCCCCATGCACTCACATTCGCAGAACTATACGAATATACGCTCGTTTCCTATATTAATTAATTTCTCATTAATAATAATAATAATCGTAAAACGGTAGAGAACTTTTTTGTATATTCAATTTAACCCTATCTATTAATCCCTATTTTATTCTAATCACGAACGGTTACATCTATTATCAGACATATATCCTATACACAATCGTCAATATAAATTGTTAATATCAAAATTAATATATAAATTATAATTCATTAATTGCAATGTTTAAGTATTACAATTAGTATATTATTTGTTACATTACATTGCGTAAGATTGCAAATAGCATACAAAAAAAGCATCGAAAATGATAGCCACACACGATTTATAAAAGATATATTCATCGATTCCTATTGAATTTTGAACATTCTTTTTGTCATTCTTTTGTCATTAACCAGAAGAGAAATATTTCTCGTTTCACGATTTGCATGTGCGAATCACATGTATATAATATAACAATAATCGATATATATACGAATTTCTATACAGAAGCATAATAAAGTACTGCATTCTCTTTATCGTAGGGAGAGATCTACAAAAAAAAAGTGAGATATCTATAACAAATCCCGCCTCGAATGCTCGATATGAATCATCAGGGAAAATCATATCGCCACCGAACCAGTAGATTACCGTGAAAGAAATCTCCCCCTCCCCCAACCGCCTCATCACCCTTCCCCTCGGTGGTATACTTTCTCAATGCCAGTTCGGCCAGCTCGGAACTGTTTCTCTGGGATTTTACGCTTCGGAAACGACCTTGAAACGCGCTGCTCGTACGTATTATTGTACGTATCCATATGACGCAAATGATATTTTAACGATCTCGCGCATCTTTGGTAATCGTTAACGCGCGATTCCGCGTACGCGGTGATTTACCGGTGAATAAGAGCGATCCCGCATCTTGTACACATATGTAGATATACTTACAGTAATATAATGATAATAATATGGATATGCGTTAATCAGGGACACTTCGCGTATCTTTTGTATCATTTAATAGCTAATTCATCTAATTGACCTCGAGAACGCGAGATCGAGTGATTTTCAGTGGTTTAAATTAAACAAAGTAATAATTTTTTTCAAGAGTCGTGTATTTTGTTATAACGTTTACTCTAGCGTTGCAACAGTAAGTCAATATTTTGCATTATCATCCTATTTTATTATATATACAGTATAAATTCCTATTATTTATTCCTATTATTACGAAAGTATATAAAATTATTGTTTTCCAATATATATATATATATATATTATATACACATATTTGTAGTTTAATTAATAGAGGTACATATATGTATATTCACTTGCTCTTATTTCGCAAAATAAGAAGTCGTCGAGACGAATTATACCTAACTACTTGATTGTATATGGCAAATATATTCTTTTCTTTTGTTCTCACAATCCTTGAAACAGGACGCATTACATATCACCTTCGAAATATTAATTTAATAGTTAAAACTTACTCGATTAAACAACCGTTAAAATTTATTGTATAAAATAAAACGGTCATTAAAGAGCTACTCCCCCATGTCCCCTAATAACTGAATCGTAATGGATAGTATTGGTATATGGCAGTGTAAAAATGTTTCCGCGATAACAATCGTTCGTCAATAATGAAATAATTATACGAGATCGTTATTATATATATATATATATGTTCAGACGATAAAATTCATAATCTAGCAGAAATGTAGATCTTCACCAAACTTGGATACTTCACGAAAATCTTTGATAATAATATATAATACTTCCCTCTTCGCAATTCATTTCTTTTAATATCAAACCAGCAACGGTTATTTCTGTAAGTATGATATATACGTATATTTTTATATGTGTTACCTATTATATATTATATATTTTTTACCGCACATTAACAAAATAAAATTATTCACGTCACAGTAATTAACTTGAATACCGTGTGCGTGTGTGTGTATATATGTATATATATATATGTGTGTGTAAAGGTACTAATGTGGTAAAAGTAGCCTTTACCACGGATCGTTATAATTATAGAACAGTAGTATTATTTTGATTCTATTATGTAACAGAACATATATACAAGAGACAATATATATAAGGCCTGACAATACAGTGACTTGTTTTCGTAGTTTTCATAGGTGCAGTGGCGATTATCTTTAATTTAAAATTGCTTAATCACTCTATAGATCAGATATTCGTTTATGCTTATAACTTAGGCTAAGTCTTTGGCTTAGCATCGGTAATAGTAATCAAAGTAATTCAGTATAAATTCATAATTAAATCCATAAGCCTGTCATATTATTTTCATAATATTATTTCAATTGACGCTGCGTTCGAATTCAATTAGGATATGTATAAAAAAAAAGAAAAGTGATATAATATAAAGTAATTTGAGAAACGCACTAGCGATATTCTCACATAGAGGATAATCGATAGCAACCTGCAACAAATGCAAATTAATTTTTCCAATATGCAAATTTGTGTTAATATTATTCAGACTCAGACAAATTAGGATCTAATACATGTATATATCAATATACAGAACAAAATTAGAACAAAGCTACTCTTTGAATTATCGCTAGCATAACATGTAATACTAGAATTTTGTTAAGGTCACAAATTTAATATAAGCATTACAAAAATTTACATACAATTAAATATTTACAATAGAAATTCCAATACATTCTCATAAGTTTAAATACACTGAATATATAATTTATGTTATATAGTAATTATATACATACACTATAGTATATACTATATATACTACGTAGTATATATATTATACATACTGTAGTATATAATTTATATGTATATATATCTTGTATACATACATATATATATATATATATATATGTATATGTATGTATGTATGTATGTATACCAGAATTATATCGATATAGAATTAAATCTCAAGTTGCTCTCTCTGTGTATATATATATATTTTTTTAATATTACATATTCTAAAATATGCAATATCTCTACTAAAATCATATAAAAAAAGAATGTTCTCATATAGGTTATTTTTCATATATTTATAGATAAAAATAAAAGATTTAATAAATCATTAAATGTTTGCTAAACCAATTTAGTATTTATCATTATCAAAACGCATAAAATTAATCATCGTTAGAAATATTAAAATTGAATAATGACAATTCTTCTCGTCTTCTTGAGGAACTCAGCTGATGCTTCGTTATTTTGATTATCCGTAACATCATTTTTACATCTTTATTCCATAATAGTAGTGGTAACACAGTGCATTTTTTTTTTCTTGGATGGGCCATTTTGAAATATTTGATATCATATACATGTTACCTGATTACATTTTAAAAAGAGGCAGATATGGGAAACCTTAAACTATGCCGAAGTAGTAAATTCCTTATGGAGAAATGTTTCGATATCCACTCGACATATAGGACAACGTTTATTGGTGCATAGCCATCGATCAACGCAGTCAATATGAAATAAATGCATACATGGAAGCCTCCTAACAAACAAAAGAAAATTACAAAACCCGTTATAATTCATATTTTATTAAGATATAAAGATACGAAAAAAGTTGAAACTGAAAAATTCTTACCGGACACGTTCACAATCTTCAAATTCAGATAAACATATTGTACATTTCTCAATAGCATCTTCCCCATTTTCTACTTTTTTTACCTATAAATAGATATATGCAATGTAATTGTAACATCATGTAACAGTTTGCTTATGTGTTGTAACGATATTAAAAGATTTCATTTAAGTATAAATTCTCACCCGTTTATATTTGTGAGGGAATGTGTGGCTTTCAATGGACTCTTGTGTAGCCCCACAACTTATATGAGCCATACGTCGCAAATCAACAATGCGCATATAATTGTCCAGTCGTGACATATGACGTCCTTGCAACAGAAATTCCGATGGTGCAAACGGCACTATCTGGTGTGCTCCGGATCCTTGCTGTATGTATTAAAATGATACGAAACAAAGTGTATTTAGAAAGTCAGTGTAGCGTATTTATATTAATATAAAGAGAAAACGAACCATATGAGGATGGAAACTAATGTGAACGTGATGCATGCGTTGCGACGGCCGATGTGGAGGATAATGATACATGTGATGATGCACATGTTGATGTATCGGTTGATGTATCGACGGTAACATCAGTGAAGACATCGAGTCTACTGGCTGATTATTCAATGGATTTACCTGTGGATACGCATGTACATATAAATATACGTAAAAATGTGAAATATAAATTTATACAAAACATGATATCAAGATATAAATTACGATTATAGGCAGCACAGGGCATGGTCCCCTATAAAAGCTAGATGGCCCTCGAGCCTCAGGGTGACTGTAAACAGTAGGTTGCTGCGGCGGCGGTAAAATAGGAGGCGGGAGATAATTTTCTGTGTACGTCGCGTTGTCCGTTCCATTATTGCATCGGGGAGTGTTCGGGGGACTACTGTTTCCTCCCTCAAGTATGTTTCCTCCGCAAGTATGTTGTGTCGATGAATGCACGTGAGCGTTACATGGTCCCGCACTAATAACAATGTTTGATTTAGTAAATAGAAGTGCAATTTTGTTTAAAATGGAATATAAGATATTGAAAATACTAACGTGTGATGTAACGAAGAGAGATCTGAACGTCTGTGATAAAGTCTTCGTCTATGTACTTCTTGCATACGTTGTTGATTCATCCACAATCTTTCTTGCACAGGATGCATTCGTGGTCTTACTTGCACTACTTCAGTAGCCGCATCTATTTACAATAACAAAATTTATTTCTGTCTCCATCATTTTATAATAGATTACAATAAACTTTATGCACTAATTATGCCATTCTTTAATAATTGATACATTTCTAAAATATATAAAAGTTGTACCTCCTACAGACGAATAACCTGAATGAACAGGCAATCTGTGATTGTGATACGTGCCTCTATTATGCATGTTATGCAAATGATTCCAATACTCTGGTGTTCCATGCACACAGTGAGTATTATTTCTAAACAGGATTTCATGATATGTATAACGTAGTAAAAATAAAATTGTAATTTAATAAAAACTAACTATATTTAAGAATATGGTGCTCACCTATGATTATAATCTGCTGACCATGGATTAACTACAGGATTTGTTGGCGTAGATGATGTGTGCTCTTCATCAGATTCTACAGTTAAGTCAACTACGGTGACTGTACGATTAGCTTCATTTGTATTTTCTAATGAATTCTATAACATTACAGAAAATGCGTTCTTTTAAATAAAGTTTTCACAGTCTACACAAATAGTATCTCTGCAATGTTTTTATTCTATTTTTTTATTTTTTTTTCATTTCTGCATCTTTTTATCGTTGTTATCTTAAATTGCACTCGTGAAAAAGACATAAATATTGCAATATTATTTATGTATTATTGGCCGATTCAATCGGTTCTTTTATTTAAGGCCTTAAGTACGAGACAATCTTAATGTGTTATAAGCCAGTCACAGAATCATATTAGCATCTTACACACAATTAGACTTATTTAAAATGGCCTTGATATAAGAATGGACTATGAAGTTCTGCCATTAATCTTGTTTATATGAAAAGATTATAGTATGAAGCTTCTTTAATTTAGTAGTCAATACTTCAATACTTGGATATATTATATAGTTGATAGTGACAAGTTATTAAAATATCAATAATATTCTATTTTTACTGCAATAATTATTATATAAACAAAAGCTACACAATCACATTTCTTCAACAAACATTAAATAGAAAAACTGTAATCACTTTTCATACCAAAAAGATTAAGTATAGTCTACCTAGCTATAATCATACATTACTAGCATAAATTTTCTCTTATTGTATTATATAAAAATAATTTAAAAATATTCACATACTTTGGCATTATTGACAGTTCCAAGTACTTCAACTGAGCCATCCTCATCATCACTATCACTACTGGAGGACCAATCTAACTGCAAATCTGGTGCCGATGGTGTATCATCGCTTTCTATTAAAATTACAAGATCAATAACAAATTAATAATCATTGATTTACGTGTATATAAATATTAATATATTATTATAAGCGCTATTAAAAAATCATACGAGATGAATGCACTTCTTGAGGAGTTATCACATTTGATATAACTGAATGATACAAACTATTAGACTCATTGGCATTATCACTTCCTAAATTTTGTAAAACATCTGCATTTTCTGTTGATCTCGTTATACTGCAAAGTAATGATTTATTTTCAATATTGTATAATATTAGGCAACAGCTATATATAATAGATATTAATAGACAAATAAATACTTGTTTGAAATAGGATGATCTGACAATCTAGATGGTCCAGCTATACTCAAACTATCCGGCTGTTGACCGCTCAATAACTTTTGCTCGTCGCTCTTCTTAGTTTTATGCTTGACCGTCAAATCACGATCGTGCAAAATTCTTTTTCTTCTATAATTATCACACACTCTCTCCTCGCACGAATTATTCAATTGTCGAGTCGGCGGATCTTTTTTAGAATTTCTTTCTTGTCTATTTTGGCACATGTTGCAATTCAAGAGATCAGATTGCCAATATTCCTGCGAACGACCAGTCGCAACTTGCTGAGTTATATAATTCTCATAACTGTTCATAACATAACTGTTCTCGGAAGCAGTAGGATGAGCTGAATTTGCATAAGGACCTATAGCCGTCACGTCTGACTCTTCGATATCACTTTCCGCAAATAAGTGCTCATATTCCATTTCATTACCTGGAAGCGAGATGTGTTCGATTCACTACTGTATTACTATCTCAACGTAAGAGAGATCTGTACGTAAAAAATATTTTACGTACAGATTAATGAAGAAAACTGTCAAGTGTCGCGTGTGTGTACCTGAAGGAAACCGAGGTTGCGGCGATGGATCGACCGTCGACGTGAACGCCGTGTCAAATATATCGGCCAACGACGTAGAGTTGGCCTCTACAGATGAGGTTGCGGACTCCCCTTGGAACAGCTCGCTCTGCTCTTCCGGCTTGACCTTGTGCCAGACATTTTCCGAGCTCGTGCTCTCCTCCATCCTACTTCTACACGTCAGGCCACAACAATACAACGCGTTAGGCGCAAAACCAGCCGGACCCGAGGAGTGCATTCAGTTGCGTAACATTAAAGCCGAAGAATATTCGCGCAGAATTGTCGCAATAATCGACTCTGTACCAAATTAGGATGGCAATACGCAAGATTAGCGTAATAACGATAAATTTCCCTTCGGACGCGAATCCAAGAGCGGCGATAATCCGCATTGGAGCGCAGCTCCACGGCGGTTTTTCCGTTTGTCACGACAATGTTTGTGCGTTACGCACGACTTTTCCGAGAACCGAACCGTATCGGATTACAGGGAAGAAAAGTCTGGCTCGGGCACGGCCGGGGGACGAGGAAATTTTTCGGCGTACTTCCGGGATCTCGTTGATACTTACGTTCACGCGATAAAATCTCGGATCGATAGCGCGACGGGAATAATTCGGTGTGCGCCGAAAGTGCATTTACCTTGTAATTCCTTCGACGCTCCCGTCAAGTGATAAGCGTATCTTCTTACCACGTCATTTTTATCAGATTTATTTTCCGCGATACCGCCGTCGCCCGTATCATGCTTCGTGCACGCGCCGATATTACCTTCGTGACCGGGGCACTGCGAATTTGATTGAATTGCGATCCATGTAAAAACGTGGATATAATTAAATTCTTATGTCAGTAATAATGATAATGAAATCGAAAAGAATTTATGTAGACTGGAGCAGATCCGTCTCGTTAGCGATGCACATTCGGCAACGGCGGTACCATCAATCGTGCCCCCTGTCAACTACCGCTCGCGCTCGGAAGTCCCGCTGATTGTACAGCACACTACCTTTCCAGCAATTCCAGCATTCCAACATACCCTAGGGTGCGTTCCCACTGAATGCGTCACGCGCGCGCGTCATCCAAATCAACCAATCAAAACATCTCATTTTATTGCGTAAAGGAAGAATCTTTTATTTCTAAAATGTCGAGTAACCTATGCGTCGTGCAAGAAGTCACGCGGCAAATGATGCAATAAAATGGGATATTTTGGTTGATTAAAGGGCTTCTGGCACACTGGACGCGAAAATGCTTGCCACGCGTAGAGTCCTAGATTATCAGAGAAGCGCGACCGGTGTTACGAGTCCTGATTGGACTCGCAAATGGCCAATCATAAGATTGATTTATCGCTATTATAAATGGCTGCCAAATAAATCAA